CCCCGAGGCCGCCGACGGCAAGCTCGGCGGTTATGCCTAATCAGGCTTTGGATAAGGCCAAATTTGGAATGGATGCTTAGAAAACTCTTGGGAAAGCTCATCCAAAACTTTAAAAGACTATTTTTGGCCGAAAATAAAGGGGGGAGACTAAATAAATTGAAGTGTGGAATAAGTGTAGAGAGTCTAAATTGTGAGGAATTCTTCGAGAGATTGTAAGAGTGGAGGGAAAGTGAGAGATTTCTTTCTCCTTGCTGCTTTGAAGAGGAATTCTATGTGCTGCAAAGAAAGGAAGAAATTCAGAGAAACTTTGAGGAGTTTTCTTTGGGAGAAATTAGAGACAAGTTATTTATTTGTTGTAGTTTGTATGACTTTGATTTTATATATGAATTCCGAGTTTTGTTGCGTTTTCCCCATGACATATGAATAGTTTTCTCTGTCTTTCTCCTTGTCTCGAGATTTGTGAAATGGTGATTTGAATTGTTGAAGCCATGAAAATGTTTAAGAAATTGTGATGATCTTTTCACTTAGATCTTCATTTACTTTCAATTTGGCCAATTGATTGTTAAAATATGTTGAGTTTTACAACTACAGTGAAGATTACATCCAAGATTCATGGAGGTCAAAGCCCTTGGAAGTTGGGTGCAAATAAATAGAGAAATAATATTATCGGGCGTAGAATTGGAGATTTTAGAGTGCCAGACTAAAATCCCCAATTCGGTCCTATCGTTTGGGTGCTGAAGTGTAGATGTTAGCCCTCAGGTGAGGGGAACGTGGGAGCTCTGATGTGAGAGCCGGTATCCTCCCAGCCCAGCTGCAGATTCAGTAAACAAGTGTATATCATTAATTATTTAATAGTTATTAAAATTACGTAATTATTTCAATTGCCTATTAGTGAGAGATAAGCAAATTGAACTTCGTTGTTGTGATTAAAGTATTGCTTTTCTAAAATCTTAGTTCGTAGTTCTAAACTTACTCCCTGTGGGATCGATATCTAGGACTCCATGAGAGCCCTATATTACTTGAGCAATACGTATACTTGCGTTGATAAGTGTGACTTTACAATTATTGAATATTTAATTCGTCCATATTTATCGAATCTATAACTATTATTAAAAATTTGGTAAAGTTGCTGAGGAAGTATATCTTTT